TAATTTTATTTTCTTTTTTAGAGAATGAAGAAGGGAGAGAAAGAAACATCCGTGTGACAGAGAACCATCGATTGGTTGCCTCCCATATGTGCCCCAACTAAGGATCAAATGTGCTACCTAGGCATGTGCCCTGACCTTTTGGCGTATAGGATGACACTCCAACCAACTGAGCCATACCAGCCAGGCTGAGATTAACTGTCTGTCAACTTTTTAAAGGTATTGGTTCCTTGTTTTTGTCTTCCAAGCACCAGCTCTCAGTCTGATTTAGCTTCTTTGAGGTTGATCTGCCTTTTATTTTATGACTGCTTTTTAAATAGATTTTTTAATCTTATTTTAAAGTAATTTTACTGCTGAGGGAAGGATTAAAAAATTCTTCCTGGGCCCTGGATAGTGTGGCTCAGTGGATTGAGCACCAGCCTGCCAACCAAAAGGCCATTGGTTCAATTCCCAGTCAGGGAACATGCCTGGGTTGTGGGCCAGGTTTCCAGTTGGGGGCATGTGAGAAGCAACTGATTGATGTCTCTCTCATATATTGATGTTTCTTTTCTCTTTCTCCCTCCCTTCCCTTCTCTCTAAAAATAAATAAAAAAATTAAAAAAACTCTTCTTGGGATATAATGTGCTTCATAGATCTGTAGCTCAATGTTTTCCATTGTCCTGAAAAGTTCTTAGTTATTATTATGTCTTTAGATATCACTCCCACTCCATTTTTTTCTCCCCTGTCCTGGAACTCTTATTACATTTAATCAGACTTTCTCACTCTGTCTCTTACCTTTTATTTATTTATTTATTTATTTATTTATTTATTTATTTATGTTTGTATTTTTCCTTTGGGATGGTTAATTTAATGTGTCAACTTGGCTGGGCTGTAGCGCCCAGATTCTTGACCAGCCCTTGGCTGGAGGTTGCTGTGAGAGTATTTTTACCTGGGCTGACATTTAAATCATGAACTCTGAGTAAAGCAGATCACCCTCTCCTATGTAGGTGGGCCTCAGGTAAGCAGTTGATGGCCCCCAAAGAGCAAGGAGTTCTGCCTGCAGACTACCTTTGCACATGACTGAAACATCAACTCAGCTGCAATGTCCAGCCTCTCAGCTTGCCCTGCAGATTTCAGACTTGCCAGCCCCTATGATTATTAGGGCCAATTTCTTAAAAGAACCTCTTTGCTAGTAGGAAAATGAGCATCTCCTATTGGTTCTGTTCTCTGGAGAGCCCTGACATCCTCTGTCTGTCTCTGTGCTGCATTCTCAGGGTCTTCTTCAGAGTGACATTCCATCTTAACGAATTTCTGCCTCAGCTGTGCTTAGTTTGCAATGAAACCTACCCTCTGTTACACACATTGCTTTCTTTATTTCTGAAAATCTCATTTGTTTTTTTTCTTTTTGCTTCCATCTCTCCCCCTACATTTCCCATCTTGTTTTTAAAGTCACTTCTACCCGTTCAGCATGGGTATATGAAAGTCTGTGTCCATGAACCCAGATATCTGTCTCTTCCCATCATCTGTTGTCTGCTGGGTTTTGTTAAAGTGGTCTTGTCTCCGCCCATGCCTGCTCGTTTTTGTTGTATTTGAAAATTTTCTGTAGGATTATTTTGCTCTACCTCTTAGTAGGATCATCTTAATCTAAATTCAGGGGTAGAGAGGATTTCAAGCTGCTCTGTGAGCCCTGCAAGGGTCCTCTCACGGAGGGTTCACACCGAGTCCTGACCAACTGACTCTGCTCACTGCTCACTGCAGCTGCAGCCCCACCTGCTTCCTGAGCCCTTGAACCTCTCCTCTGGCTTCTGCCTGCCCTTTCTGGCCCTCCCACACATCCCTTCTCTCATCCTCCAGGACTTTGCTCAGATGTCACTCTCTCAGATCTTTCCTGACCCTCTGGTTAGAGTGAGTGCCACTTTTTAATCTCCTCTTTACATTATTCTTCTATAAAGCATTATATTTTGTTTGCTTGTCTTCCCCACTAGAATGTAATCACCCAGGGAGTATTGATTTTTGACCATCTTATTCACTGCTCTATTCCCAGTGCAAAATGGTTGCGGGCACAACGTGAGAGATCAATACACATTTGTCATATGATTAAACGAGTGCCTGGCTTATGTTGACCAACTTCTTAATATTTGGACAAACGAAATGTATTGACAAGGGAAGTATTTTCCTTAGATCATAAAATTCTCAGGAGCAATGTAATTAAGTTTGATATTCAGTTCTTTTGTGAAATAATTCCTTGAAATCATGGTAGAAATTAAACAAAACTTAACTAACATACAAATATTTTAAAAACTCCCCAGAAAATGGAAAGAATTTTTTTCTATAATTTAAATTTTATTTTTTTGATAAACCATGGGTTCTTTAATTTGCTTGGGGAGATCAGTGCTGATCTATGGAAATGTCTTATTAAATAGTTTTCTGGTGAGTCTAATTTTTTGATCTTCATGCAAAGATATTAGGATTGATTTTAGATTTTTCTAGCAAGATTTATAATAATTCCCCCCTGCCCCCCAAATTTCCTTCAAGGGCACAGGAGGATAAATTCCTACCTCCAGTGACTATAAGACAAAGGAAACTATTATATATTTTTTGATGCTCTTAAAATTTATGAAAAATTTGTAGGCTATTTCATAATATGTCTGTGTTTGTTTTAATATGCTAATACTGCAAATTACTTATGTGCATAAAAGGTTTGCTTCTACCCACTAGTATTTTGCAAGATACTATTCATGATCATCAACACCAGAAATTTCTGCTGAATTAAAGAGACTTGAGATCCCATATTCGATTCTACCACTTAGTGTGCCATATTTTGGATATTCAAACTCACACAAAAATGTGGATGTAAGTGGCAACAGGTCTCCACTGCACCCACTGCTGTTCCTTAAAGGGAGGCATCTGGAATGCAGCAGGGAGGTGGTACTGAGTAGGATTTACAGGCTACTGTGGGCAGACATTTCAGTAGGTACCAAAACCCTCCATGATACATTCAGCTGCTTATGAAACATGAAATCTGAAAAGTCCTCTGATATACTGGCTAGTCATTTTCACCATATCAAGAAAACATGTGAAGAAAGACAACTGAGGTTTTTCTCTGTTTATTATTGATTGTTATTTTTGTCACATGAGCATAAACCAGAAGTCTTAACCCATAGTCATAACATTCAATTCCTTTGGTCTGACTCTCGAATTTCATTTTCATTGCCAAGATCTTGCCATGGACTGTAGAACTAACTATAAGTTTTATCTTCAGCATAGATTAAGAATGTTCAATATTAAAAGGCATATACCATTAACACAGAGACATTATCTGTCCTATTCGTACATCCCCCCTTTGTTGTGGTTTTTTTCTTGATGAAGAAAAATAAAAACTGAGCCTTGAGGCTGAAAGCTCAGACAGGTCACATTCTCAGCCTGGTAGATCAAGACCCAAAGTCAGTTTCCATTTCACTCACTTTTTTCTAAAAAGGTGAGTATTTAAAACACAGAATTTTATGACCATCCTCCCCACTTCCCCGTCTTATTGAATACACACAGAAGACTGAAGGCAAACTTTCAGGAAGGCTCTTTTCCCCGAACACACAGCCCCGGCTGCAGCACGCAGGGTGTGCGGCGGCTGTGACGCGGACTTGGGCTCCTCGGGTTTTGCCTCAGGTTTAGTTTGGTCTCTGCAGAATTGTTCATGTCCAGGGTGGGGCAAAATTAGGGTTACAGGTGTGTGCTAAACATGGAGCTTATTCTTGTGTTATTATTTACTCTATTATTTTCCATATGAACAACTGTAAACCTACTTTTGCTTCACCCTGTATATTGTTGGAGTGAGTGGAGGAAATGTTCTGAATACTTGCTTAGCTTTTCATGAGTTTTCTCTTTTGGTTCTCACTACCATTCCCATGGGGCAATATTGTTGCCCTGATTTTATAATTTAGAACAATTTTATAATCTTGGGAATAAATTTTAGGCCCAACCCTTAGTCACACACTAAAAGCAGCTCTTCTATCTTTCTATTTTGTGTTTCGGATGATCTGGTCTGAGCCAGAAGCAGTCAGTCACTGCAGTAGGCACAGCCCCGCCAGCCCCACTCTCCACCTGGAGTGGTGGTTGAGCCCCTGCTTTCTCAGGACACCTGTCTGGTTTTGCAGAGTAGTGCCAGCAGCCCCTCAGAGAGCACACCTGCTCCAGGCAGGGAGCTGCCTCAGAGGTGTGGTGTTTTCCTGCAGGCCCTGGACGAGGCTTCCATATGCTCCAGTCGGTGCCAGGAGCCTTCCATGGTCCTGCATGTGGATGGCCATTGGTCACAGTGGAGGCATTACCTTCCAAAACCGCTCCCTCCTAGTGATGGTAGAGTTTGACCACTTCCAAGACCATGTAACTCTTGATCCTCACAACTGGCTGTACTGGGCAGCCTGGGGTGGCTGCCCTCATTTGGCTCTGATAACATGGGTGGCGTGGGAAGCTGGGAGTAAGATGGGGAATTGTGCTTCCAGCCCAGAGCTCCCTGACTTTCTCCACTGTCTGTGAAATGTGCTTCCCCAGTGCATGCTAGCATCAGGCTGGTGCAGAGAACACAGGGGCCTCTAAGTCCAGCACCCTACCCCGGGCAGCCAGGCCCTGTGTCATCAATGTCCCTTCCTCCAGCCTCACACCCATCTGGCCTTCCATCGGAAAGGCTCCTGCTGACAGATAAGTTGCTGTCCTGTTGGACACATCCACGAGTATTCATTTTTATTTCCACTGGGCACCGTGGATACTGCAGCTAAAGTGGCACCAGGATGCATTGATGTGCTTCATGCATCCTATTGTACATTCTCTGAAATGTGGCTCTTCTCACTTTCAGAGATGCTCCCTGACCTTCCTTCTTTTTTAAGTTTTGGATTGCTCTAATTTTGCTCCTTATGTCTTAAAAAGCCATTGGCCAAAATGGATAAAATCTATCTGACTTGGCCCCTTTGGGGCCTGCTTGTGCCAGCCAGCTGATTGGAGGGGTGTGTGTCTTTGAGGACGAGTTCTCTTACCGCTGAGGAGGGGCCGGTTGTGCTGGTAGGAGGTGGGCAGCTGGCCGATGTCCTCAGTCCGGTGGCTCATGACCCGGCAGAGGTGGCCGGTGTGGTGCAGGCTGCCCACGATGATGCTGTGCAGGTACACGGGCTCGATGAAGTGGCAGAGGAGGGCACCCTGCAGCCCTAGCACATTCCACCTGGAGAAAGAGGGAGGGGTCAGTGCGTTTGCTCTCCTGGGTGAGGATGGAAGGGGCAGCCTCTCAGGCCCCTCAGGCAGGCTCCAGCTGGGCCTGTTGTGCAAGGTGCCTGTGCCTTTCTTCCCTCCGCTCTGCTCCGAGGTGTTACTGTCCCCACCGTGCAGACTGACAGGAGCCGTCAGCTTTGCTGCTAGTGATCTGAGATTTTTAACTGCCGGGGACAGGGTCTGGTGCACCTCAATAAACGTGGCCTCCTTTTCTGGAAATGGATTGTTAGATGCACTGGAAGCTATATATTCCCTCAAGGACTTAAAATTAGATTAAAAGAGATAAAAGACACTCAATCCCTGAAGAGAATCTTCAGTTTTCTTTATATTTAGTTGGGAAATATCAGAAATGCAGTTTGTTCATTTCAGGTGAGGGAAAATACTCTCATCCCTTGCTGTGTCCTCAGCAGTCTGTGTGACCCATGGTGTTGGAATTAAATGACATCAGTGTGACCTTGTTTCACTTTGGGGTGGTTTTAGATGCCAGATCAGAGCTGAAGGGTGAGCCCATTTTGTCTGAAATAAGTAAGCTCTGGCTGAGTGTTTTTGATTCTTCAAGCAAAGATGACAGGGGCATTTTAAGATTTTCACCCTCCACGGTTTGGTGGTACAAGGCTACACATATCTGAGACTTGAGTCGCCATTCTGTGACTTCTACTCTAAATAACGTGTTTAAACCCAACTGCCATCGGCAGTGAGCATTATGCAGCTAATTTCTTACATCATTGTTCTTTTCATTAATTAACATCTTTCCACGTTAGAGCGGTTATTGTGGTGCCTCCGTGCCGCACGTTTCTTTTCATGATTAATAAGGAGTCATTACGTTTCCTCTTTCCCGAAGCAGTCAATTAACACAGAACCCTTTCCATTAATTACCGAGTGTTCACACCAGCACGCCCTACCTGGAGAGCAATCTGCTCCGAGAACCTGCGACACCAATTGCTTTAAAAAGTTCTCTTTAAATTTTATTCCAAAAACACAAGCAATTTAGCTGGCGACATTAATCTGCCTCAGAAGCATTGTGGTGAATGAGAAGCATCTTTCAATCTCATGCAAGAAAAAGCAGCCATCTGGCTGGCGAGCACGGCACACTCCCACTCCCCCTGCGCAAACGCGGGTCATTAAAGTAATGTGTTCATCTACATAAAACTCAAATGGAATATAAAGGGTAATATTTATATACAAACAATTTAGTCCTACGGTTTAAACAGTCATTGGTTTTATGAAACATTTACTTTATCAGACTTGCATAGCTTCACTTAAAACAATGGTGGTCATTTCTGTAAGTCCTGTCGTTTCTCTCAGAAAGGCACAAAGGGCTTGTCCTCCACACAGTTGGAATCTCGCCAGAGTGTAAACGGCAGAAAGTTTTGGAGGAGCAGACATTTCTGAAGGCAACAGAAGAACTTATCACAGATTTCAGGGACTCCATCATTTGGCAATACCGTTTCTGCAGAGACCTTTATTTTCACCACATGGCACAATCTGACGCGGTGACCTGGGCTCTGGGGGTGAATTCAGAAAAGCCCTCGCAAGGAGTCTGTGGTGGCCGCGCTTTTCTGGAAGGAATGACACCACATGTCTGAGTGGGGATTGTGGGATTTGGCGCCTTCCCTCAAATCGGAAACTAGAATTTCTGGGCAGTACTAAGGACACACCAAAAAATGAGGAAACATTAAACAAAGTCACCTTTTTGGTATTTTGCATACCTCCTTTTAGGTTTGAAGAGGCTGGGAATGTACGCCAACAACAAAAAACAGAACATTTAACAGTAAGTCTGTTTCACTATAAAAGTCCTTGGTATTTGTTTTTTCAGTGTACACTTTGTTTTCAACCACAATATAGGCTTTCTGGTGTTTGTGTGCATTGACGAGAGCAGATTTTCTTATAGTGAAGGGTCTAGATGTGGAAGATTTGCAGTTATGATGCTACGTAACCGTTTATGGGGAAGGATTCTGGGGGGCAGACCTGAGTGGGTGTCTTAATTTATCTCAGAGAGTTAGTGAAGTTTTAGCACGTCTTACCAATTAAAAGCAGGGAAGTGGATATTTCCCCCACTAGGAAGAAAGCACTTCCTTGAACTAAGCTGCATCCTGAACAATAAAAGTAGTATTCCTAGAAGAGACATCACTGTGCTTTAGGCCACCTGTGTATTGGCTTTGAACAAAACTCCTGGAACATATTTGAGTGGTTCTGATTCTATGGGACTGTCTGAAGACAAATAATTTCTATATCTGGTTTCTTGCTAATAACCTTTACAATAAAGAGAAAATCAATGTTCTCCTTGCCTGGCTCTAGGAGTTTAAAGTTATTCAGCAAACAGGATCAATAAAACCAAACGTCTTTCCAAATATAAACCGGAGAATTTTCAGCACTCAGGATTGAATGGGAAAATATCTCTCCTTTTGTTCAAACAGATGATATTATTGCAATGTTGACAGAGAAAAAAAAGCCATGTCTAGTTTTCAATATAGATAATCCCTAAGTAAATACATTTTTGTCTATTTGTCAATCACTGAAATACCAAAGGTAAGTGGGAATGAGATTTTGGGGAAAAGCTGCCTTTCTTTTTTCTTCTTTTTAAATCCTCACTCGAGGACACGTTCATTGACCCTAGAGAGAGAGGAAGGGAGAGAGAGAGAGAGGAACATTGATCGGCTGCCCCCTGCAAGAGCCCTGAGTGGGGATCAAACCTGCAACCCTTCAGTGCTCAGGATGATGCTCCAACCAACTAAGCCACCCAGTCAGGGCAAGGCTGCCTTTATTTAACCAGGAGAAGCAATCTCTTTGCTCAGTTCAAACCTTGGCTTCAAGACTCAGAGGAAACAATCACAGGGAGGGGCCCTTCTTCAGACATCACTCCCCCCTCGAGCCTAGGGTGTAGACAGAGAACAGTGGTTACTGGTGCATGTTCTGAGTGACGGCTGTCCCTGTCCATTGTTTTCGCCACTTGACATGGCCCAGAAAGGAGATATAACTCTCCAAAGTTACAGTGAAGCCTGGTGCATCGTTCAAGTACCATCAAAAAATATACTTAACCTAGCATAAGAACAGACACAGAGCTCAATGGAACAGAATGAAAACCTTGAAAATGAACTCTAAGAAACATGATAAGGATCCCATGTCCAGCAAGAGCCCACAGTAGCGGTTTCCAACTTTGGTGCACATTGGGCTCACCTGAGGAGCTTTGGGAATCTCCCGGGGCCTAGTCTCCCCACAAATCAGGATTGGCCCAGGGGACAGCATGGACCAGTGTTTTCAGGGTCCCCAGGTAATTCCACTGGGAGACATAGCTGAGCTATGCAGCAAAGCACCCAGTGCAGACTTCAGAGTAAAAATTAGGTGGAACCCAAATCCTGACAGAAGTCAGCTGAGCTGTCCTTGGCCACCGCCTGCCCCTCTAAGTCTCCTGCTGGTCCCCTGACTATGGGGAGGGCTGGCAGATGGTTCTGAGGATCTCCACACTGGTGACATGGCCATAACAGTAACAGAACTTCTCCATCAATCAGCACTGTCCATCAAATGACATCTCTCATAGAGAAGACTGTGTTCCAGGGGTTGACACTCTCCCCCCATCTTCCTCTCCCACCCCCATTCTCACAATTTCTCCCCTCACTTCTTCGACCAAGACAGGCAATAGTGCCAAGTCAGAGGCGTTTCTGCACAAATGGCCCATCCTGTTTCCACCCTCTTGATATCTTCCTTTGGGCCTTTCTAAGTAAAAGAAAATCAGTAACCCTTTCACTATATAATATCACTGTTAGGAATTCATCCCATGCATACTCTCAATAAAAGGCAAGGATGTGTGTGTGTGTGTGTACATACAGAGCAAACAAAACAAAACAAAACAAAACAAAAACTAGAAATAATAAAATCTCTTAGTAGAGAATGGTTAAATAAATTATGGCACATTCACAGAAAGCATAACTGCCTGCAGCCTGCCTGCCGCTGGGGGCGTGGGTCTCTGTGTTCCCTGGTGCCCCTGCCCCGCTGGCCCGACCTCTCTGCCGCACCTTCTCTGGGCTGGACTGCTCCTCCGTCCTAATTGCCATCCTGCCACTTCTCTATCCTCACCCCTTCGTAGGCCATGAGCCGGCCAAGTTCGGGTATCGCCATCGCCACAGAGACCATGTGTGTATCACCCAGCCCTCACTCACGCTGTCGCCTCCAGTATCGTCTCCTCTTGGATCCTAGCCACTGTGCTGTGGTGGGGTCCTCAGTAGTCCACAAGGGAACCCCAGTTGCTGGTCAACACTCTCGTGCCAACCTCGGCGTGCACCATCTTGAAAGTCAGTCCTCTAGCCCCAGGGAGCAGCCCTGGGTGTCAAGATACTCTGCATACCATGAAGGTTTGCAGCAAAACAAATGACCTCTTTCAGGACACTAGGCTTTGGGGCGGTTTGTCACACAAAGCAGATAACTGGTGTGGAGCCTGTTGCATTTCTGAGCTGCTCTATGGCTCCCAGGACCCCCTCAGGAAGTTCATATGTGTCATGGCAGCAAAAACCATCTGAACAACACAGTATCTGGTGGACACTAGTATTGACAGCGAAGCGGGGGATGGGCACCCAGGAAACACGGGTTATTCTGCAGGCAGTTGGTTGGGGTCAGTGTGATGTTGTGCCGCTTCAGGTTATTTTTGGCTGAAAGAGATTAATTCCACTTCACACACAGTCTCATTTCTCTTCCCTAAATCCTACCTGAAAAATGTCTCTTCTCTTGACATGACCTCTGTGGCTAAGTCTCCACCCCACACACTGGTAGGATGTGAATATTCTTGGAGGACCAACAGCACAACTTGTGTCTGGACTGTTCCCAGGTCCTGTCAGTTCCACCTCATCCCAGCCTCCTCCACGGGGTGAAGACTTCTAGGGGATGGTGATGGTGGGGGCCATGCAGGGTATAGACAGTCTTGCCCATTCGTTGCTGAGTGTGTGGTCTGGGGAAGGGCCC